GCACGCGCCCAGCGCGGGCTGGGGACCAGCCAAGGGCAAGGGGCTCAGCTTCGGGACTCAGTCTGGCGCAGGCTGGCTCGGCCCCTGTCGGCTTCGGCTGGAAGGAGATCTCCGGAGCCGGCGGGCTTAGCCGCTATAATGTCCCGGGCTCCAAGCCCCCCGGCCCGCAGCCGGTGAGGAGTTGGGACGTAGGAATTTTCTCTGCCAACCATCCCTTAACATCTCCGCTTGCTCTTCCAAACAAAAAGACTTCTTTCAGCCGAGTGGATTTCGAGTCCAGGGAGAAAGCTTGAGTTGTAAATTACTCTGTGGTTTCAAAGGCGTTTGCAGCATTGAGAGAGAAAGAGAGTGAAAGAGGGAGAGAGAGAGAGAGAGAGAGTGGGAGAGAAAGAGAGAGATGCGGAACTAGGAAGGGAGACTGGGGTGAGAGGGAGTAGAGGGGCGCCTGGGCCGAGGGACCATTGCCTGTGAGGCGGCTCCCGAAGAACGGGCCGCGCTCCGCACACCCTTGCCCAAGGTGGTGCAGCCCTCGGCTGGTTCCCCGCCTCGCTCCCCGCTCACTCGCTCTCCTGAATCAGAAGAGGGCTTGGCGCTCAGCCTGGAAAGCACTTGCTAAAATCTGATCTGTTACTTCAGCAGCTTTCAGACTCGGGAAGGTCTTGGCACGCAGACAGTTGGAACGCTGGGGCTTCCAAAGCCGTGGAAATGAAGGAAAAGGGTTGGGGGGGTGTGGAGAAGAGGGACTGAGGGAGCGACTTCAGCCCCGATTAGAACCAGACCAGGCTGCCTCAGCTTGGGGAGGGGGGTTTGTAAAGGGAATAGGAAGTGCCAGCTGCCCTAGACCCCCACCCAGCTAGAGCTCTGAGGGAGGGGCCTTCAGAGTAGCTGGACTGGGGCCAATAGAGATTATTTGCCCCCTCCCCCCGGGTTGAAGGCAGGTGTCCTTACAGGGTTAGAGAGGATGCTTAGGCCTTAGCTTCTTGGATTCCGGAGATGCCCAGGGAGAGCCCTGAGTTCTCCCAGGTATGTGTGTTGATGGCTGTTGACACTCAGCATCTCTTGCAGTAGGGCACAGTGGCGGTGTTGGTGGGTCTGCTTATCTCTTCTGCCACTCCTGGGAGAGAACTGTTACCATCAGGATGGGCACTGAGCTGGGGGCCGCTAGCTGGGGCTGGGGACTGGAAGGGTGGATGGACAGACTGATAGGTTCTTTCCTTCTGTTGGCCAGGCTGGGGTCCCCAGTGACTCTTTGAATCAATACAACTGGAGTCAGTAACTTAAGACTGGCTGTTTGCCAAAGCAGATGTGACCCTGTGTGGTGGTGGGGGTGGGGTAGGGAATGGCTGGTGTCAGAGAGAGAGGCCAGTGCCAGGCATGTTCTGCCTGGTTTGCAGCTGAGTCCCCAAGCAAGAGGGCAGGCCCCAGGGTCACCCTGGGGGACTGCTTGTCTGACCTGGGTGAGTGCTCCTTTCCTGATTGCTGAGTCTGGGGGTGGGGACGATGAAATGGGCATGAAGTGGAGAGATGGCTTTGGACCTTGTTGCCCAAGCCTCTTACTGCCTGCTGCCTCCTGGTCCTTGAAGCAGGGCCCGAGGGAGGCTGCTGTGTGGTCTTTGTATTCTCTGGGGGAATGCAAGGGAGGGAACCTAAACTCTGCTTCCCACCGTCCCACCTCCATATCCTGGCCATAGCTAGAGCCAGCCTCTTGGGGAAAGAGCTGGGTGGTCCATCTGGATTAGGCCTTCAAGCAGGTGAGGGAGCCTCCTCTCTCCCCTCTCCTACCTCCCTGCTTCCTTTACAGACTTTCCCCTTCCAAACTGCCTTAGGACTGACATGTTTTTAACCCATGGTCTATGCACCCTTAGAATACCTAAGGATGGGATTATGGGGGAGGGGTGGTCCCTGAAACATTGTGTGCAAAATAGTGCCCAAATGTGCTGTGTCTGGGAGAGGATTCTCAGCTCCCCACAGATTTTTGGAAGCACCCATGATTGCTGAAAGATAAAGCTACACTACCCTAGGGAGGTGAGGCAAAGTTGGCAGGCCAAGTCCTCCTTTATGCTCTAGGGACACGGTGAAGTGGTTATTAAAGATGAGGGGGTGGGCCCCGGGTGCTAGTTGCCTGGAGTCGGCTCCCCGCTGAACCATCGGGCAGATTCCGGGAGAGCAGCTACTTCCCAGGCAGAGTGCCTTTGGAGGGTGGTAGTGAGAGCACGCTTGGTGAGCAGGGCCTGGGGGGGCCTCCCGGCACAGTGGGAAGGGCTCAGGGCTTTGCCATCCTGTGGTCTGGGCCTGAACTCCAGCTCCGTCTTTCCCTATCTGTAGACCTCTGCGATCTGTGAAGCTTAGCTTCAGCATTTGTGACATGGGTGGCCCTGAGGCTGAAATGGTATATGATGGGTGTGGAAGAGATTTTTCAAATTCTCATCCTCCAGGAGGACACATCCCTCTGCTGGGAACTCTACACACCTATGCCCTTCCTTCCCCTACCTCCAGGTTTTGGGTAACTGGTCCAGTCTTAGCAGTGGAGTTTCTGGGCTTCTGCCCTCTTCGCATCCATCAGCCACCAAGCCCCAAATGGGCCCCCTGCCCCCAGCCACATTTCCGTGAGCACATCCAAAGCCAGACACTGCCCCCCACAATGTGGTGTGCCCCGCCCTCCCCCGCCGGCAACCCCGGGAACGGGAAGCTGGGAATTTAATAAAATCCCTTCTCCACACGACTTGGGACACCATGGGTAGCTCAAATCGGAAGAATTTTAAAAATTTCCAAGGGGAGCAAGCGGCGTGACCAGTAAATTGCTTTTCTGCACTTGGCTGAGCGCTGACAATGACACCGGGCTGGGCCTTTCTCGCAGCTCTGCCGGCACCTGCCTGACATTGTTCCTGCCGCCAGGCTCGGCTAGGTCCTGGCCTTCCCCAGACAGGCCTGGCGTGAGGCGGCTGGGGGCAGGGGGGGCTTCTGCCGGCCCCTCGGCCCTCCCTCCCGGAGCGCTGCTTCCTCCCTCACTGCACGACTTGTTCAAGTTTGGAAGTTTCCTTCCACACCCCGTCTAGGCCTGACCTCCCGACACCTGGCCTCCTCAGTCAGGTTTAGACCCTTTCTTCAGCTGGCCAGGATGGGGAAGCCAGAGACAAGAGTCCTCAGAGACTCGAGGAGGATAGGAAGCTGTCGTTGGATAACACTTTTAATTTCTTAAAGCAGCGACCTCATTCATCCATCCGTCCATCTGTCCAGTCAGGTGTTCATTCAGTAAATGCTGGGAGCCTGCTTCTTGCTGATTCTGGAGCAAGGCTGGTCCACTCCTGGCCTCAAGGGGCTCCCAGTCTAGAGAGGGAGAGTGCCCAGAAAACAGGAGTTCTTCAGTCCCGCCCTTCCTCTCCCACGCTGTGCCCTGAAGGGCTGGGAGGCAAGGAGCCCCCTCCTCCCGTCTGACAGAGGAGGAAGTCGAGGCTGGAGACACGTGACCTGCCTTTGGTGGAAAAGTGCTGCATGTCAGAATTTCAAGGCGGCCCTTGCATCAGGAAGGTCCTTTCATTCTTCCTACCATTTTACAAGGGAGGCTGGAGTAGGAGGGAATAACGTGCCTACTTCGCAGGCAGAGAAACTGGGGCAGAGAGCAGGGAAGGGATTTGTCCAAGGCCACAGCTAAGACTCAAGACTCTGGAATTAAGATCTTGTGTTCTTTCCACCACACCAGGCAAACTTTTTCAGAAATTCTGAAATTATTCGGAAAGTATACTGATGAGAAAGTGGAATCTCCAAAGACATGCTAGGGGGTCCTCAGTGAGAGAGTCAGCTGGATCCCCATGATAGCATCCCTGTGGTTGGGGATGATCTGAGGCTAGGTGGGTGTCTCTGTGTCTTGGTGTCTGCAGGCCCTGATCATCCTAGAATGTTCTGGTCTGAAAGGGTTTCAAAACAAGAGGTGGGTGTTTGGGAGGTGGGGCCTGGGGTATTCAGCATTCTCTTCGCACCTCCTTTTCCAGCCTGGTGGTGGGAGGGCACCCTGCCAGCCTTCCTGCAACCCAAGAGTGTCACCTGCTCTGAGACAAGGAGGTGGATTTAAAAAATTTCTTTTGGTTGGCATGGCCAGTGTCCAGCAGGCTCTGGGGAG